GTGTATTTTAACGTCAAACGTATGTTCATTATAATGATTTTCATATAGAATGAGAAAAAAAAAGAATTTAAGATTCGTTTTGTTTGATACATGTGAAAAATTAACTTGACTTGCCGCTGTGTTTTTATTTTGTTGAATGTGTATGACCTGAGTTTGGAACAGTCCATGTTTATCCATGGGTGTGCGGGTAAACCAGGTGAAATATTTTGGTTTGTCTTTTATCTCTATGTAAAACTATTAACGTTTATGACAGAATAAAAGGTTATTTTTGTTTAAACGCGTGTAATTATTATAAGAAAAGGTTTTCCGCGAGGTTAATTTAAAGTTTTTAACTGGAAATAAACATTAGAAATTAAAAAGAAATTCGTCGAGAGTTTTCATTGCGACCTTGATAGGTTCAATGATCCAATAAAAATTATGTTTAAAACTTTATAGTTTGTTAAGAAAGGGTGACAACAGTTTTCTTTTCTTTTCTTATTATTATTATTTTTTCTCTCTCTCTTTTTAAATAAATGATTAAATTTTTTTTTATTTTTAATAATGTTATTATTCGTGTTTTTATTAAGAAGCATGGGTAGGGGAACTCACGGAGGGTGGTGTTATGTACGAGATAAGCAATATAAGTCATTGTTTTACTTCGCACTTTGAAATTTTTTCGGATTGGTGACTCATTTAATTTACCCCGGGTCATTTTCAAAAAAAAAAAAAAAAGGTTGTGAACTAATCATATTATTGGGTTTTAGTGAAAAATAGTTATTATTATTATTGTTGTTATTAAGTTATAATTGAATGAAATTTTTTTGAAAATCAAACCTAATGTTTTTATCTATAGTTTGGTTTTAGTGTTTTGTTTCTTAGTTTTTGTAAAAAAAAAAAAAATTTATTTATTTTTTTTTCGAGTTATATATATATATGTTTACGAATCATACAGAATCAATTGATAAAAATACTGTGGAAAGAGGAAAGAAAGTGAATTCAATATGGAGGGTGATTTATTATGGCCATATTGAACATAACCGATACCCGCAGAAACTTCTCTGATGTATCGGTGTACTCAAAACCATTGAATATGGATGCAGTACATGCCAAGCATCATCATCGTATTGCAACTGCACCAGTTATGCCCATGGATAGACACAGGCCAAGAAGTAAGTTTAAATTATCATTTTTTTATTTACTAAAAAGTCTTAACTTGCTTTACGTTCTTTTTTTTTTTTTGCAAATTGTTTGTTGTTGTTGTCGTACTGTGTTGTTGTTTTATCTAGTAAAGGACCCACGAGGCCATCTCGAGTACTTTTCAAAGTTTGTTTTCAAACTTTGGTACTCGAGTTTGGTTTTTTGGTACAAAAAGTACTTTTTTTTTGTTTCCCTATTTGTTCCTTTTTATGTATTTGTAAATTATTGACAATTTGACACTACCTAATTTAGCTTCATTGAAGGTAATAGCATATAAAAATTTTGCATGCGAGTATAGTATTGAGAATACATACATTTTAAATGGAATATAAATAAAGTGAGAAATATGATGACAGTCATGTTGTAGTTATTCTCAATTTCTATTAATTGTTTTCCTTGAGTTAAAATTGCTGTAAGCATTGCCAAAGGATTATTTTTGTTTTTTTTTTTTTTTAACTTAATGCATTTGTCTGCACTTTTTTTAAAATATTTCTTTATTATTTTCACCACGGTGTAGATAAATTCATTTTTGAAAAAAAAAAGTTTTTTGTTATCAATGTGTTGAAAAAGTGTTAAAAAGTGAATTATGCTGCTCCTTTGTAAGTTCAAAGCATGTTTTTAATTTCATATTCGATGTAAAAACATCACATATAGTAATTTTAATGTCTATTATTGGGAATTTTTAAAAAAAAATTTGAAAATCACTCTGGTTTGATAATTGCTAATTATATTTTATATAATAACAATTAATGTTGTCATACAATCGCACCTTATAAAATTTCTTTTTTTTTTTGTAATTTTAAAACTTTTTTGGTCAGGAGGAAATATCGCTATAGAAATGAAATTAATTTTTCTTTTTTCAGAGAAATTTAATTTGTATTTTACAAATGATATTGATTGTTAAAAATATTTCTCGAAGATAGTTTTAAAATCATTTAACTTTTTATAAAAACTTTTTATTTAGTTTTTTTTGTTAAGAGCATGGATTATTTCGCAATGACAGATTTTTGTACTCATTATTTAAGAATTGAAATATTGAAAATTCCAAAACAAATAAAGCTTATAATTTTTATGAGGGGGGGGGGAAACGCGCAGTAATACACATAAAAGACTGGAGAAAAAAGTAAAACTTATTAAAATTATGCAGCTGTCAATTAATCGGAGTGACATTTAATATTGGTATACATGGTGAATGGGAAATCAAAAAAAATAAATAAATAAATAATGGCAAAATTTAAATATATTTTAAAATTGAAAATCATTGAAAATATTTTTGGGAAATAAGTAAACAGTGAAGAACGAGAAAAGAGAGAGTTAGAGAGAGGAGGGGGTGAGGGAGGGAGAGGGGGAGAGGGGGGAGGAGAAAACGGTTTCAATTTCGAATATTTAAATGAAGAGTATGCTGTGTTGGGGTTTCGGGAAAAGATTTAAAATTTTCATCTTACAAGGGAAACCGTTTTTCTGGAACAAAAGGGAAAAAGTCAATAGACATGTAAATTTATGTAAATACATCGCCCGCCACAACAAGCGACAACAACAACAACAACACCAATAATAATAATAATAATAATAATAAGCTCGCTTATATGTCGTGCGGTTATTTTTAATATAATATATAAATATATTGTTAATTAGTATTATTAGTTATGATAGAAGATGTCGTCGTCGTCGTCGGTTGTTGTTTTTGTCTTTGACTTATAAATCAAATTAAAAATTAATTATAAATTGCCAATAGAAAAACAACAATGCAAAAAGATAAGTTTTAGATGGGTCAACCCACTGACCTATGACCTTTAATGATAGCAATTTTATTTATTTATTTTTTCATACATATAATTTTTTCCCCCCAAAAGTTGAAGTCATTGAAAATTTTTCTCTAATAAATTTGATTAATGAACCCTAGAACCATAGAAAAAAGGGGGATGGGGGCGGAGGGAGGGAGAGAGGGGAGGGGGAAAGGTGTAAAAGTTTGTGAATTATTTTGTTTTCATTTTTTGATTTTTTTCGAATTCCCGAATTTTTTTTTTATTTAAATAGCCGAGTTTTATTTAATTTTATTTATTTATTTATTTTTATTTCTGTTGTTATTTTTTTTTTATAATTATCCGCGTAACTTTTCTGTTGTTTTGTATTTTTTGTTTTTATTATTATTATTATCCAAAATGTACCGTGATGAAGTTGGAGAAAATCATTTTCACTTATGTCAATTTTTTTTATTTATTATTTATTATTATCATGCAAAAAAAAAAAAAAAAAAACGGTTTACAATTCAATTGTTTAAATTATTTTAGTGTGGAAAAGCGGTTTATATAAGTGATGAAATGAAGTGTTTGTTTGTTTGTCGGACGGGTTTGTGCATAAACTTTAAGTGTAGAATTCTTTTTAAAAAAAAAAAAAAAAAAAGTTTTCCTTATTCGGGAAATTTGTTGGTCAAGAAAC